CGAGCCAACTAATCCAACTCTTGACGGGCCCATCTTTGAAAAGGCCCAGCCTGGTCAGAAATCAATATTGGAGCCCATCCCACTCCAAATTCAAGCTCCATCACCCTCCTATGGGTTAGGTAATTTATATTGCAGTGAAGATCCTGGATTTTTATTTGACGATATTGAAGATAATCTATTATTTGACTCTCAAGGAATGGGGATGGATTTCTTTGATAATGGAGGTATGGATCAATCTACAGATACAGCCTTCTCTTGTTCTCCGATAGGCTTTGCGGCAGATGGGAAATCTAAAGGGAAAGCAATTTTGATAGAGTCATCAGAGTCCGCGAGAGTCTACGTTCGAAGGAATACTGGAATTTGTATCCAGGAACCAGAGGAAGGGGTGGTCAATTCCATTCCGAAGAGTCCAGGAGAGGACAACTGCAAAGGAAAAAGGGTGGAGGTAGCCAGCCCCAACTGGCCCCAACACTCTAAATGAATGTCTTCGCGTGGAATTGTCAAGGGATAGGGAGTACCTTGACATTCCAAACGCTAAAAGCTCACCGAAATTTGTCTAAATCGTTCTTATTTCTGTGTGAAACAATGTCTCCTAGAGACAAAGTGGAGTCTTTCATGTCGCGTTTAGGTTTTTCAGATTGCTTTCCTGTCAACCCTTCCGGCCTGTCGGGGGGTCTAGTGTTTGGTTGGCCACGTGGGGCCTCAGTCTCGGTTATTGGCTCAACCTCTTTTTTCATTGCCATTTCGGTCATAAATAATAACTCCCATTGCTATGGTGCGTGTCCTCGTTTTGTGCTAGTAGGGATTTATCTCTCTTATAATGTCACAAGTCGGCGCTCACAATTAGAAGAACTTTTCGGGTTTTGTTCAAGGTTGTCAGATCCATTTCTAATAATTGGAGACGTGAACTGCTCCTTATCCCCGTCAGAAAAGTCAGGGGGAGCCCCTTGGCGAATGGACAAAGCCCGGCCTCTTTGGGACTTTATAAACGATTTGGGTTTGATAGAAATGAGATTTCAAGGGCCAAAATTTACTTGGACTAACCGAGGAAGAAATGGTATACTAATCGAGCAAAAAATTGACAGAGCATTTGTTTCCACAAGCTGGGCGTGTAACTGGCCGGATTCCTGTCTTTACCATCTCTCAGATAAAGGGTCAGATCACAGGCTCCTGTGTCTCATGACTTCACCGGAAATGTCTAGAGCTAAACGCCTATTCCGCTTTGACATAAGATGGACTCAGATTCATGAACCAAGACTCTTAATAGAGTATGTCTGGGATTCACCCATAACTGGGTCCCTTCAATTTTGTCTATTCTATAAATTACTCAGGGTGCGTCACACCCTAGTTGATTGGTGCAAAGGGGGGACCTCTAACTCAGCCAGACTAATAAAGGATCTGAACTTAGCTCTCGATGATGCCCGTAAAAACAGCATGGTGGATTGGAATCTGGTTCGTTCCCTAGAAGAAAGACTAGAAGTTCAATATAAATTGGAAGAATTATATTGGAGACAAAAGTCGCGTGTCAACTGGTTAACAGAAGGGGATCGTAACACTCCATACTTCCATATGATAACGGCAATTAGGCGTCAGGCCAACTTTGTATGGGGGTTAGAAGACTCTAGAGGTCAATGGTGCACAGATGGGGTCCGGAAATTAAACATTGCAGTAGAATTTTATCAATCCTTGTTTCGATCCCAGCTTACTGAAGGAATTGACCTATCCAACCTGCCATTTGAGAGTTTAGTCTCTGAAGAACAAAATCAAGATCTCATTGGGCGCATCACTCCAGAAGAAGTGAAAGACGTAGTCTTCAGTATGGGGAAAACTCAGACTCCTGGGCCAGATGGATTCACAGCAGGATTCTACCAAGCTTACTGGGATATAGTAGGTAAAGATGTCACCCAAGCAGTCCTAGCTTTCTTTCACTCTGGGCATTTACTACGTTCAATTAATAGAACTTGGATATCGCTGGTTCCAAAAACAGCAGAAGTAAGATCCATGAAGAATCTCAGACCTATTAGCCTTTGTCAAGTAATTTACAAGGTCATATCAAAGATTCTGGCTAATAGATTAAGCCGGGTTTTACCCAGTATAATTTCTCAAACACAGAATGGCTTTATTAAAGGTCGCCAAATATCCGACAATATTCTAATTAGCCATGAGATAACTCATCATCTCCGAACAATGACCTCAGGTCAAAGGACATGGATGGCCTTAAAGCTAGACATGGAAAAAGCCTATGATCGTGTGGAATGGCCATTCCTCTTTGGAGTAATGAATGAACTTGGTTTCGATCAAAAGTTTATATCATGGGTAAAAGAATGTGTCACAACAGTTTCCTACTCAGTTTTGGTGAACGGAGTCCCCTCTAGCTATTTTCGCCCGTCAAGAGGACTTAGACAAGGTGACCCTCTGTCTTCTCTGCTATTTGCCATCTGCACAGAGGGGTTCTCAGCCATGATAAGACACACTATAGCAGTAGGGTATCTGGAGGGAGTGAGAGTTCGAGCATCTTGTCCGATGGTTTCCCACATCTTCTTTGCGGATGATTCTTATCTCTTTTTAGAGGCCTCCCCTCAGTCTTGTTCAACAGTTCTTTCCCTATTTCAAGCTTATGAAGGTCTGAGCGGCCAGCGAGTCAACCTTCAAAAGTCAGCAGTTTTGTTTAGTCGCAATATGAACCCGGACCTAGCTGAGCTTCTAGGAGGTCAATTAGGTGTGGGTAGCATTGGAGAACAAGATTATTACTTGGGACTTCCATCAATTATCTCTAGATCAAAGAGAGAAGCCTTCCAATTCATAGAAGAGAAGCTCATTAAAAAACTCCAAGGATGGAAACAAAGAACTCTGTCTAAAGGTGGGAAAGACATTTTAATTAGATCGGCGACTACCAATTTACCAGTACATGGTTTGTCGTGCTTCAAGATTCCTAAAGAGAATTGCAAAAGACTAAATAGTCATGTGGCTAGATTCTGGTGGGGATCAGCGGATAATGTTGATCGTCCTATACATTGGGTGTCTTGGAAAAGCTTGGCTCATAGTAAGTTTCACGGAGGCCTAGGATTCAGAGACTTTGGGGCCTTAAATCAAGCCTTGTTAGCTAAGCAATGTTGGCGAAAAATCCAAATTCTCTCTTGGCAGCCATTTATAAGGGACGGTACTTCCAAAACGGGTCTGTGTTGGATGCGAATCTAGGTTCCAAACCTTCATGGGGATGGCGTGGTATACTATTTGGAAGGGATCTCCTTTTACAAGGATTAAGGTGGCAAGTTGGAGATGGGCAAGATATTGATGCCTTCAAAGATAAGTGGGTTATTACAGAAAAACCCATCTCTCCTTTAGTCTGTCTCTCGAACATAACTAATTCCCCGAGAGTTTCCTTTTTCATTAAGGATAATAGAGGTGAGTGGCATGTCCCAAGATTACATTATTGCTTTGAACCTTCAATGGTTAACCTTATCTGTAAAATCCCACTCCCTAGATGCCATCAAAGAGATATGAGAGTCTGGCATTTTACAAAAAATGGTCTTTATACAGTCAAAACGGGGTATCATCTAGCTCTTGACATCTCATTATCCACTAGCCGAAAGCCTCTGGTCCATATCATTGATCCTCCTATCTGGAAGAAAACCTGGGATATCCCAACTCCTCCAAAGCTGAAATTCTTTATCTGGCAGTGTCTTAGAGTGATACTTCCAACAGTAGTTGCACTCAAATCTAGAGGAGTTAATTGTCAGGTCTGTTGCCCTGTGTGTTGGAGAAGACCAGAAAGTATTGAACATCTGTTCTTTAAATGCCCCCTGGCCACAAGATTGTGGTCGCATATGGGATTAAATGATTTCATCTCCTCGGCCCCGACTGTGAATTTCAGTCTCTGGTGGCGACATGTTATGCTTTCCGAGCACCCCCAAACCCATATCCTCTTGTTTGTTTGTGTTCTTTGGAGGATCTGGAAGTCTAGAAATAAGGTGGTCTTTGAACATGTCCAACCTCTTGCCCAGTCTCCCGCTCGTCAGTGTTTTTTCCAATTTCAAGAACTGTCTTCCTCCCTCCCTTTGGTCCCTGCTCCCCCGCTCCAGCCGTCCCTTTCTCGCCGCTCTCCCTGGTCCCCTCCTCCAGATGGCGCCCTGAAGATCAACTTTGATGCTGCTGTTCGCTCCTCTGGTTGCTCGTCTGGTCTAGTGGTGCGAGGTTCAGACGGGCGTGTGGAGCTGGCTGTAGGTGCTCTTCACCCTGGTATTGCTGATCCCTACCTTGCAGAGCTCCTTGCTGCTAGAGCCGCCATTTTCCTTGTGGTCTCCAAATCACTATCCCGGGTCATCATTGAAGGTGATTCAGAGGTGGTGATTAATCAGCTGCGTCGAGGTGTATTATCAGATTCCATTGGAGGACCGGTGCTTCGGGATTGCTTTATTCTCTTATCGTCTCTGTCTGTTTCGGTAGAGTTTAGGGCAGTCCCCCGGACTGCGAACAGGGCTGCCCATAGAGTGGCGCAGAAAGCCCTGTTTCTCTCCCCTTTAGAGTTGGTCTCCTTTGACTTTGTGGATTGGCTTCACTTTTGTATGGGTTGGGCAGGGTTGGGGTAGTATGTATAGGTTCTCTCTTGACATTTCTTGGAAAAAAAAAAAACATATTCATTCACTTCAACTTATTTTTTCTTGCCAAGCCTCAAGCTCTTGTCTGATCAAGCAATAAGCTTTTGATTAAAGCCAAGAGTAAATCAGTGCTCAAACTTCCAAAAACAGTCTCACCAATCGAAACCATGATCTGCAAAAAACCATTTAGCAAAATTAGACAGAGGAAAGAAGTAATCTAAAGATGGAAGGAGCAAGATAGTAAATAAAAATAACTATTGTTACCTGGGAATCCCCAATCGCCGGCTGGAAGGGGAGGTCGCGTCCCGGAGGTGGAGCTGCTTCTCGTCGGGGTTGCTTTTTGTCACCGCTGCTTCACTTCTTGGACCATGGGCTGGTGGTTTCTGTAAGTAGAGGAAGATGATGGGCTGGTGGTGGTCTCGGGGTAGAAGGAGAGTGACGATCCGCGCGGCTGCTGGAGGGAGAGGGAGATGGCGGTCGCTGGTGTTATGGGAGGTGAGGTCGAGCCAGAAGTCGTCTGGGCTAAAATGACCGCGTGTAGGAGCAGCGGAGGAAAAGGAGGGAAAAAATGTAGCTGCGGGGAATCGAAAGCCCGACCTCATTAATGAACAGTGTGCATAATCCGCTGGGCAACGGGGAATAACCCGCCCTCTTATTTCCAGGAAACGGCTATTTGTTGTTTCCTCACCGCTTTCTCATTTACAATAATTGATTTATTCCACGAAAACAAAATTGACAAGTGAACACAATTATTGTCAATTCTTTCCTTATTTTCATTTTTTAAACAGAAAACAGAAAATGAAATGGGAAGTGAACAGTGTATTAATCTTTGTCGGACGATTTCTCACTCGTTTTAAGTTGAAATTTAATTTACATATTTACTTTTTAAAAGGGTTAATACCTTATTTTGGCCCGAACTATGACCATATAATCAACTTTGGTCTGTGGTTTGAGAAATTAACATCCTGACCCGAACTATGCTTCATATAATCTAATTTGGCCATAGTCGTGTTTTGACTGTCAATTTAGTTTATTAAATACGAGTATTAAACATGTTATACAAATTTTATACGTGTTTAGTACGTGAGTCATCAAACAAACTAGAAAAAATAAAATAGATTGCTATAAAAAATAAAATTTTAAATATATAAAATACGTACACACGTAATAAACAGATTATTTAGTAATTATTACCTAACACATTTAGGTAAAAGGAATCCATCATATTCGATTTCTTACCATAGGTTCCATAGTCGTAAGCATGGTCCAAAAAAGCATACTTAACCTTATACTTAGAACGCCTAGGCGCAAGGCAATGACAAAAAGCCTCATCTAGGGGTTTCACGCTTAGTTAGATACTGGAACACGTCAATAGAGTAAGTCGACATCTAAGGCTTTCCTAAACATAACTAGATGGAGCTACGAAGTCAATATTAAAGAAGGAAATTCATGTCAACTACGAAATCAATTTTCTATATAAGTATTTTCAATAGCTCAAAAACTTTGTGAGCTATTGAGCTATGATTCTATGAATTCGTGAGCTATGTTATTGTGATTAAGCGTTGAGTAAGTTACTTATCATTTTAACTGAAGTGAAGAAGTGTTGACTGTTGTAGGTTATTATTTCATTCATAATGCACTGAGAATACCTATTTTTTTCCAACGCCTAGACAGGCTTAATCTACGCCTAAGCAAGCTAGGCGGTAGGCAAAGGCTCAACACCCACCTGACGCCTAGCGCCTTCTTTGAACCTTGGTCGTAGGTCGTACCTCATACGGGCTCAAATGATGTTTTTAATATTGATGGGACTAAAACGTAATTATACGTTCTTTCCCTTTTTCAGATTTGCTTCAGTCAGTGCTTTGATTCCACGTTGTCTGCGTACTCCAGCGGCAAAAACAAAGAAGAGAGTAAAGCCAGGCTGCCAGCCCAAAAGTCCGTTCCGACATACCAAATGTCTTCCGATCCCGATAAGCTCGTCGCTAAGGCCGATAAGCTGTGAGGCTCCTCTCTCTGTGCGTATATTCTAGGATTCAATCTGTTTGTATCGCTACTGATCCTCGAGCATTCGGATCATCGATTAGAATCTTAATGCATATCTGCAAATGGGTTCAAGCTTTTCGCGATTCTCATTAGCTAGGGAGGAAACCTATTCCCACCACTTCATTCTAATTTCCCGTTTTAGCAGTAGGCAACTGAAGCAAAATTCCAGCGGCAGTTTTTGAAATTTATCGACTTTCAATTTCAGATTTCCGGTGTCTTAACTGTTGGTAACTTTGTTGTTTCACTAGAACAAAGCTGACCCTTACAAGGTGGAGTGCTGATTGGAGAAACGCCACTCTTAACTACGAGCAAGCCGGTTAGTGATCGCTGCTGCTGCTTCTGTCTCTTTACTAGTTTTTTTTTTTTTTTTGCTCCATAATGCCCTGCTTATTGAACCTATGCTGAACAATTTGTTGACAAAGGAAAGGGATTTCTTTGGTGGCCTGACATGAGAATTGCATTGCTAATGAATTGATTGCTCTCCTGCAGCCAATGCGTATAGAGTGGCCAAGAAGTATGAAAAGAGCAAAGATGCATTCGAGAAGGCTTCCAAGGGGCAAGAGATGCTTTCCTCGTATCCTTGTTTGCTTGATTGAGTTATTTAGTCGTTGAAGAATACTTTGGTATCTGATTGCACATGCTAGATGTAGGTACCTTCTTCTTTTTGTTTGTCCTTTACTTGAAATACAGTCCCTGGGACGCTGCTAAGCACATGGAATCTGCTGCTGCTCTAGCTAAGGAGCTAGGTAACTGGAACGAGGTAGCTGACTTGTACAGAAGGGCGTCGGAGTTGTATGTTGAATGTGGGAGGGCGCAGCCTGCATCTGATGCACTGGGGAAGGCAGCTCGGTAAGCTCATGCTCTACTTTATTGATACACTCTTTGTGTAATTCTATGTTTGCTCTTTCGTTTTTTATGCTTTGTGTATCTTTAATTTGGCCTTTGGTTTCATATGCTAGGGCAAGTCAAGTAGAATAAGAGGTCTATGTAGGTTCTGCACGAAGCTCATTGCTTTGTATATGTTTAGTTGTGTTCTGCTTTATAAGAACAATATATAGTGGAGGTGTTTCTTGAGATTCAGTCATAGACTGCAAGATGTTGGTTGGGGAGAGGAGAGTTAATACGCGTTTAGATGATAATCTGTTTAGTGAAGCTATGGTCTTAAAAGTAAATTGGTATGTGTGCTATTTTTCTATTTTTCACAGTGTCGTGGAAGATCATCTGCCTGATGTTGCTGTTCAGCTGTATACTGATGCTATTTCACTTCTGGAAGAGGATGACAAGGACCAAATGGCCTTTGATCTTTACCGTGCTCTAACTGCCGTCCACATAAAGCTTGAGAAGTAAGAACTAAGAACTATCATTCCGCAATTGTCTTAATCCAGCAACGTTTCATTTCCTTGATCCAGATACAAAGCTCTCACTTCAGAGGTGAATTTGAGAATCTGCACTTGCTCCATCTGTTGTTTCCTGTTGTTATTTTTATGGTACATGCATGCAACCATTCAATTCCATATCTGATTGGCATCCTTTGTTTACTACATTCCATGAGAAGTTTGATTAACTTTAACCGGTATAGGCAGACAATGTTGCCTTTGTTGGCATTATCTCGTATATATCTATCTACTTGATGTTCTTGGTCTGTTGTAAAAAATTTAGCTGTGAAAATGCAAATTGATTTGGTGTCTTTTCTGTTGGTTGCCTTGTACAATTATTTGTTTGGAAGACCTGCTTAGTACCTGGACAATCTTCTTCCACATGAGCGATTGCCTGTTGAATCTTATGGCATGCAGTAGGCTGAGTATACAACCTGGTTTATTAGTTCTTTTAGAGTAACACTGTAGAATTAACCTGATGAGAACTTGCAGGCCATAAGGGATCATGTTTATACATAGTGCGTGTTTTGGAAGTTAATAATGATCACCAGACTAGGTCTCAATACTTTTCGTTATAGCTTAGTAATTAGTGACGTGTAATGTTCCTGAGATCTTATGATTCTACAAGCATTCTACTCTCCAGGCAACAATACTTGAACATTAGCAAATTCAGATTGTGGATTGTGGTTATTTCCGGCCTTGCTTCTGGTGGAAGTTGAAATTTCAATAGTCGATGAGATGATTCATGTAGTTAATGTTTTCAGGTACACAGATGCTGCAGCTGCCTTGTTGAGATTGGGTCTTGCAGCTGACAAATCCAATGCTACTAACAGCCAGTTCAAGGTTTTGCTGCCTCAAGTTTTTGCCCAAACTGATTCCAAAAGCCACCCCACATTTTTTCTGTAATGATAATCTTACAACTTAATCGAAACATCATCAAATTTGTAGGCATACCTTGGTGCTATTATTGTGTACCTTTATGCTCATGATGTCAAGGCAGCAGAGAAATGCTATAATGACTGCTCACAGTAAGTAATAAGTAATAACCTTTTGTTCAAGTCGTCATCATCATGTATCCACCTTTCAATTGGAAAGTGCTCCTCGTTGGTTAATCCCTGGTTTTCCCCCCATTCTGCATCCAGGATTCCTGCGTTTTTGGGAAGCGACCAAGGTCGATGTGGTAGCAGGCTTATCTCAGCTTATTCGGAAGGCGCTGTTGAAGAAATTAAACGTCTGGCTCAGTCTAGCACCATTTCCCATCTTGACCATGCTGTGAGTTCTTCTATCCTATCATTTTCACCGAGTCCTTGCAGAGTGCAGCTTTTTACCATCCACTGACCGTATGCGCTAGAACGCCAACACAATGTGAAGGCTTGGTTTGATTTTGACTTCTCTTTTTCGGCATGTTGTGCGTCTGAACTTGCAGATCATCAAGCTGGGAAGAAAGCTACCTACTGGTGAAGTTACCGCAGTAAAAGCTGGGACTGAAGAGGGAGAAGGCTTGGACGAGAATGATCTCACATAATTGATTCTTCTCATTCTCGGGACAAAAATCCCTTCTTCAGGGGTGGGTTCCCATTTGCAATACGCTGTGTGTAAATTATATACTTGCTGGATATATATCTTTGGATCAACGTACTCTGTTTACAGTGTGTAAAACTTGTCCAATGGAGAGAGATAAAGCTTTGGTGTGAGTTTCTGTCCCGTTGCAAGCCATGCCTGAAGCCTGAACCTTCCTCTCGGGGACAAACTTGCTAAACTTGTTCGTTAATGACAATCTAGTCAAATCAACCTATGATGAAACCACATTACAAACACTCGATATCTATTATCGACTTTAATTGGATTGTTGATCATTTCATCAGCTTGATCGATCATTGATCATAGATAATATTTGTTCATCTTTACAAAACTCGGCTTACATCTACGTAAGGAGATATCAGAAGCTCACAACACTAGTACGAGACGATTTTTTATTAGAGGTTTCTTTCCTAAGGCCAACTCGTAGTACCATAGGAGGAGATAATCTCCAGTGCAAGTTATGGTGAAACAGGCCTTTCTTCTTTCCCAAGTCTTCTCCTGCACTTCCTAAAGAAGAGTGCATAGTAACACTCACACCAGTAGTTTGAAGTTTAAGGTCTGACTAGAACTGATTGACTTTCAGATTTTTTGTGGGCCTAATGACGAAAAGTTAATCTGGGCTTTTGGGAGATCGAGTTAGTACATGGGCTGGCGCTGGACTCAGCGGGGCAGATCAGTCACTTACATTAACCGTCGTCCGTCTACACCTCCAAAAGTTCCCAAACTCTTACGCATTTCCATTATTGCCCCTAAACATGTCTGATAAATACATAAAAACCCGTCGTCTTCTTCTTCTCACTCTAGTTTTGGCGGCAAGAGCAAAGAGTTTGTTATTTCTTCGTCAGAGACTCAAGACGCCGCCCACAAACAAACCAAGAACTCTGAAATTCCCATCCAAGAAAACCCATTTCTCCTCTCTTTCTCTCTCTCTCTCTCTCTAACATGGCTAAGCTCAGCCTCCCACTGCTCTTCCTCATGCTCCTCACCGCCGCCGTCGCCGCCGCTCCATCCGGCCGCCGCAGCCACTCTCATTCTCACCACATTCACCCTCGCCCTCACCACCACCCTCGCAATCGCAACTCCACCGCAGCCACGGCTTTTCCTCCACCGCCACAATCCTCGCTGGCACCGCCGAACTCCGCCGCGTCCCGCCAAGAGCAAATCAGGAACATCATCGGCGCACTGATCGGCGCCGGAGACTTCAACAGCTGGGCGAACATCCTGTCGATAGCCCCGCCGTCCTCCCTCCCTCTCTCCGCCACTTTCTTCATCCCCGCGGACGATTCCCTCGTCGCCGCCTCCGGCGACGCCGCATTCAGCGACCCGCTCGTCTTCCCTTACCACATCGTCCCCCAGCGACTCGCCTTCGCCGATCTCCGCCAGTTCAAGCCTCTTTCCCGACTCCCGACCCTCCTCGTCCCCAAAACGATCCTCATCACCAACAATTCCGACGCCAATTTCACCCTCGACGGCGTCCTCCTCTCCCACCCTGATTTGTTCACTTCCCCTGCCGTCGTCGTCCACGGCATCGCCAATCTCATGGACTACTCCATCTACGGCGATGGTCCACTCCAGACCAACTCCGATCAGCCGCAGCAACAGCCGCAGCAGCAGCAGCAGGCGCCGCCTCAGGTTTTGGGGAAATCGCCACCGGCGCTGTTCGTCCCCGCCGGCGAAGTAAACGGGACTCAGCCGGAGGCAGAGTCGGGAGCAGAGTGCTTACGCGCCGTGGTTTGGGGTATCTTCTTGGTCATTCTTTACGTTTTTCTGGCGTGATTTCATGGGCTGAATCAATTTCTGAACTTTCTTTGATCTTGAATTCCCTGCTCTTTAGTGCGTAAAACAGAATTACAGATCCTCTGTTCTTTACTGTGTCGATGGTTCACCTAATCTGTTGGCAGACTGATTTCATCAGTTCACAGTGTAGATTTCAGACCCATTTTCATCAGTTTACAGTTTAGATTTCTATGGGAGAGGCAAATAGTGGGATACCATAGTAGATTGATTCTTGCTGGCATGTCATTACAGTGCAACTGTCACCCAATGTACTGAAATCATTCGTATCAATAAAAGATGACAGCTTTCTAGTTGCTATTAGTTCTCTTTGACCTGTCCACTTGCATTTCCATTCATGGTTTCTTTTTCCTTCAGAAGTTTGCAATTAGAAGCACGGAGTATAGAAAGTAATGTCTGTGTCTTCTGTGTATGGGGAAATTGAACTGGAAATGAAACTGAAACCCCTATTTCATTAGCAATGGACAATCCCTGAATGTTTTACAATGGCTATGGTGGGTTAAAATGGCAGAACAGCAAACAAAGGCTGGGTTATTGAGTTGGAGCATCATCCTACAAAAGCAACCTGTGCACCCACTCCCTAGTAGCAGCCAATTCAATCTGTGTCTGCCCAAGCAAGCTAGGGTTTTGCTTTTTTTCCTTCTATGAAAAAGAATTGAGGCCTAAATCCAATTTTACCTAATGAATTGGGATGCTACATTGAAGAATCAAGAAAGAATTGTGGGTTGGTTGTGAACTAGGGACCTAAAACTCCATTAATCTTCCTGCTTCTTCTTTTCTGTTATCATCCTACTATCTTCATTTCTGCAACTGCTGTTCCATCAATGTCTTGAATGCCACATTCCATTCAGCACTCTGTGCCTCGCTGCAGAACATGGTCTTCATTATTTTCAGTTCTTCAGGACTTGCTTTCTGCAACAGTCCTTGCATTATTTGCTGCGCTTTTTCATGCGAATCAATGGATTGGTGTTGTTGGAGTTTAATTGCCTTATTTTTGTTCACGAGTTGCTTGTTATTCCAGTACTCCTTACATTGATGATCTGGATCGAGAGCTTCAATGGCCTGAAAATGTAGCATTTTTCGTTAAGTCTTTGATGCATGATTTGTTCTTTCAATGCAAGGCAGGCTAAGTTAATCAATTTTATACCTGTACAATGGACGAAGAGAGGAATCCAAACTTTTGCAAGCCACTGATTCGGCTTTGAAGAGGGGGCAATCCTTCCTCTCCTAGCCTAGTCCGTCTTAAAATCTCCTCATTCACCCGCTGCAACACGACTTCCCAGCACTTCTCTGCTGAGAAATTTGTGAATGCCTCACTCGGGTATTCCTCAAATGAAACCTGATATTTTGAAGCATGAAATCAGATTTTGGAACAAGATCTTCAATCCAATAATAAATACTAATCCACAGATGGAATTAATCTAAACCCACCTTAAATAGAGGACCGAGTAGCCCAGCATCCACAACTTCGGAAGTGTAGTAGCAAATCTTCCTAGGATCATTCACGCTGAAGAACTTGGACCGGGTTCTGAATCCTACAAAAGGGCAAGGAAAATCAAGGGTAATGAATAACTATTATCCTTAGCAAAGGAATAAGAAAGGAAGGTAACCATAGAACCAAATGTTGTAATGCAGCTGATTACCTTTTGGGAATATGGCTTGTGCACTGTGCCAGAGTTTTCTAAATATAACAGAACCAAGGTTTAGCAGCTCAATAGACTCGGTGTGACTGACTCCATCAGTTTGCAAGCTCATTGACGGGATTGCTGAGAACTGATGATGTGAGAACATTAGATCAACACCAAACAGCTTCTTACCAACTACATCAGTGTCTTCTGGAACAAGTTTCTCTTGTTTACAATCATCATCAGAGATCATTCTGCTGCTACTGGAGCTCTGAGATGCATCCAGAGATTCCCTTGCGCGTACAGTAGACACAGCATCAAGGTTCAGATCAATGCATACCTCTTCTTTAGCATCACCAGCTCCAGTTTGCAATGCCGAACCTTCAATATTGCTAAATACGTTTTTATTATCAGACTGGATTACATCTGAAGAAGCATGGCTGTTCGAGCCACATGAGCCCACCATTTCATCTGTACTAGGGGAAGAATCTGATGGTCCTTCCTTCGGATTATGAGCAGAAACCAAACTGCTACCAAAATTATCAGAAGCCCACAATTTCATGGCTGCTACGTCTCCTTCCAATGCATCAACAAGGCTACTCAACTCATCCATGGTATAACGTAAAAGCACGTATCGTTGTTCCGGTTCACAAGAGCAAACATGCTTAGCGTGTTTGAGACATGCAAACTGTTTAGTGGAGCAGTTGCAAGTTGCAGCAGATAGGTACAAGTCATAAAAACATGAGAAGCATTCTCTCTCACTGTTCAAATCAGAGGGTTCCTCCATCTTTTGCTGTTTGAACTGATCTGGTAGGACTTGTATTCTCTCATTCTCCATCTCTACCCGCGCCTGCTCGAATTAAACATCCAAAACACAGTTAGTCCTCCCATATATGATATATGCCAGAGTGAAATATTGGACCCCTAACAGTACAAATATGTAGCCTACTGTGCGTGTTTGTTTCAGCTTGAAAAACGTATAAGCTGAACAGACACATTTCTTCATCTAACTTGCAAATAATCTTCACATTTCTTAAATCCGACAAATCATCAAACGCTAAAAGCCACCTTCTTATTGTCTTGACTTCACCTTAAACTTAAAACTCACTTTTTTTTATAAACAAAAGCCAAGACCACGACACCTGTGTATGCATAATATCAGAGAGAGAAAGAAAGTACCTTAACAGCTCTGGTTAGCAATCCATCCTTACCGCAAACACTTCTCCACCTAAAATTTCCTGGAGATTCTTTGTCAAGAGATTCAAGTTCCAATAGACCCTGAACTGCATCCATTGCTGCTCCGAATAAAAGTTTGTCATGGGATATGGATGTCTTGCGGCACTGCTCACTGTAGAGCTCAACTGCATTTTGTCCATGCACCAACCAATCAACTGGGGCCGCATTCACTGCCTCGGCACAGTTGAAACCACAATTGAAACCAGCATGGTATGCCCTAGGGAAAGTAAGAACAAACTCTCCAGAGTGCTGGACCACCCGATATACAGGCACGCCTTCAGCCTTGAGAACTGAGGGAGAGAGTTGGGTAACCTGTGCATTGGATGCCAGAGAAACCCACTATTACTTCAGGGATAGCAAATGGAAAATAAGATGTCAAGAGGAAGGCTGGGATGGAAAGAGAAATAGGTGCGGGAGCTTGATAACTTTTACCAGTTCATGAAGTAAACCAGGTTGTTCTTCAAACAAATCGGGCAAATGCTTTCTCATTGCGGACTCCAAGGTTGAAGCATGAGTTCCAGGGACACCGTACCATACCTTCGGGTCTCCCCAGTGTACATAGTTCAGAGAATACAGGTGATGGTCCTCCACATGCTGCTTGCAAACATAGCGAAGAAAAGAAGGGGGGAAAGAGAACAGGAAATTAGTTCACAGAAATGAAGAAATGCATGTGACAAGTAGACTGGGTTTCTTTTTTTCTCTTTTTGATGGAAAGATGGGTGCTATACACCCTGAAATAGGAAACTTAAAATGATAAAACATAAAAGGCAGTAGGATTTCTGAACTTTACCCAACAAAATGATGAGAAGCACATTCCAACATACAGCCATGGCACTAGAACCCCTGAGATATCACATTCCTCAAAGCCAAGTACAGAACCTGGCAGACGAGGGAAGTTATTCAGATTCCAACCAGAGACCACGTACTGATCTTGCTTGTCGCCTGTTATCATTGATGACGGCTTAGGAAACCCACTTCCAAATATTCCTGTTTCCAAGTCAGCACCATAGTAAACCTGCAAAACACCATTTCCCACTCAACACAAACCAAAGACAATATGACAGCAGAAAAACAAAACCAGAAGACGAAATCCGGGAAACAAAAGAAATGACCATATTCCATACCTCAACTTCATCTGTTGGTTGCTCAATGATTCGCCAATATTCACCTTCAATGACATCAAGTGGAGGCTGCTCAAACTTCTGATGTTCTTCCTTGACATCCTCTCCGGAGGAATCTTTCCTTTGAAAGTAACATGCTTTGAAATATTCGGCATACTTCTGGAACTCAGCGAATGTAAAATTGGATCCCGTCTGGAACCCAAACTTCTCCTCGTTCTCGGGAACAACATTTGCTCCTGCTGAACATGAATTGGTGCGTCTCCTCGTGTTCCCAAACTTAGAGTGCCGCCTCCTCTTCCGCTTTCGGCTTTTGTGTTTCTTCCTCATGGGTTCTCTATTTTGAAGCAAGTCGACTTGCTGAATCCTTGTAGAGAATTTGGCATTTTCCCATATTTCTTTTTCCTTAAGATGGCAGGGTGGCCTCCAGGAAGCTGGAGGAACAATTCTACATATCCCGAATGGTTCTGCTTTTGCACGTATCTTTGATATGTAGCCAAGCGTGTCCTCAAATTCCTGAATGAATTGAGCATTTTACATTTTTGAAAAAACAAGACAAAAATGCCAGCCAATTTTTCCAATTTTCATGAGAGAAAATAAGAAATATATACCTCGGCAGTAGGATAGAATACAGGAGCGTCATCAACTGCAGGTCTGCATGGTTCATCTGGCTCCCATCTGGCAGTAACCTAGAAGCATATTGAGGAACCATATTACTCTACTCGCCAGGGGATAATGAATTAAAAGATCCAACTGCAAATCATGCTTCCAAGAAAAAGTATAAGGTCTTATGTCTCTATATATACCTTTCGATTTCGTGGACTTCCTGGGGAGTCAGTCGGAGTCTCCTTTTTTGGGGAGAGCTTAACAGAATGCTCCTGCAATACATGTTTTAGTCAGAATGTATACCATTAGCTAAGAATAAGATCATGATTGAAGCCAGGCATTGCACTTCATTAAGTGATACAGTACACAAAAGATCAGTGAAATTACATAGTAGTACACAGAACAACAGAAATATGCCAATGAAAAGCTTCGTGAGATCATCTAATGACAACTGAGTGGGACTCAAAAGAAATCAAATGCAGTGAAGTGCCTCAATGGAGAGACCAGAAGCCTGCTACTAGAACAATCGGACACTTAAATTGGTTGTACGGTATTCTAAGTGCTAAGGAATCTTTTCATGCCCTTGATGACCTAAGAAGCTTCAACACAAATGGTATTCAACAGCTTAAGTCACTGTTATGCCTAACTTTGTAACATAAACAGAAGCAGCCTGCTATCATATGAGGACAGATCATAAAATGGCATACACTCAATTTGCACATCAGAGAGAAGCAGGAGACTTTAAGGATGCTAAAACAAAATTTGGTGATGTGAAGCTTCCTCCTCGAAGGGCCAATCAAGAAGTCAAAAACCTCGAGCATCTCAGGAAGTTAAAGCTTTGCCGAGATGTTTAATCTCTTCTATACTAACAACGGCACCCAAACCCAAAACATGCCTTCCTCCTGATCGCATAAAACATAGCTCCAACATTTACGAGCATTAAAAAAACAGCATAGCGAGCACCCCAGAGAGAAAGATCCTGATCAATTCAAGTAATGGTGGATAAAAAAAAATTCCATGCCTTATGCTCAATACTAGGATCAAACGAATTCGACATTGGCATAATGCAGCCGATTTGTTTATTGAAAATCAGAGCAGAATTCTGCATCAGATCTACAAGTATTCAGATGCAGAGAGATGCTATCCGGAAAGAAAACCTGATTCTGTCAATGAACACAACCCTAAAGGGCAAAAACACATTCACGGAATAACAAGAGGCGAGATCACAACTAACCTCCTTATTTTTGGGGTCTGGAGCAGATTTCAATGGTGTCATTGGTGTTGAATCAACAATCTGGGAACCCTACAAAAAAAAAAGGAAGCACATCCCTTTTATCATAACAGGCAAAGAAAACAGATCACAAAACAATTTTCTCAGAATCCAAACACCCTGATTCCCCCACCTCTACCTTCTCCTCTGCCCTCCTCGAAAAACAAAGGAACCCTTCAGCACCCAAAGTCTTTCCCAAAACAGAATCTTCTCCTTTGTAAATTCAGGTGGGCAAAGGGAGAAACTTTGGATAACCGCAATAAGAAAAAAGGGAGAGAAATAACTACAATTGCCCAGAATGCCAATCGGTTTCCAAACTAGAATTACCCCGCTTTCAGCTTACACAATAGGGATTACATACAGTTAACAAATGGCAATTAATTCAAACAAACCCTCCTTATTTTCTCAAGAGGATTGGTGGGATAAAACCAAAAAAACTTCCATAAAAAGAGAAAAGGAACCCTCCCACAATATGCAAGGAATATCATAACCTGATCAAGAGGAAAACTCTACAGGAAAAAAGACAAAATTTTCTAAGGAAGAAAAATTGAAAGAGCAGGTGAAGGTCTCACCATATATATCTACAGAAAAACAAAAGCATGGAAGAAACTGCAAACCCCAAAAGAAAGAAGGAGTAGGAAGAGGAACAAGGGATATACCTGAAGAAAGGAAAGAATGGGGCTGTGATGGATTTTTGTGATTCAATTGAACAAAAGGGTTTCACTTTCATGCACTCTGGATGTTCATGGAACCGAAACCCATTAAGAACAAGAAATTTCTTATTATAAGAAAAACCATACTTTTTTTTATTTTCGTCGATTTTGATTGGCGGTGGCAGGCCTAAAAGCTTTTATTATTAATGCAGAGTAACTAGGGTTAGGAAGTAAAACAGATGTGTAAAACCAGCATTCAGAATTCAGTAAGGAAAGGGTAAATGTGCAGTTGATATGATATTAATTTTATTAATATGGTGATTTAATTAGCAAAATCATTTTGGAAAGTATTTATATAAAATTGACTTATTGGTAAAATAAAGGGATTTGGAGGGGATGGAAAGGTAAGAGGTGGATGAGGAGAGGTTGGATGGATGGATGGGATCTGGAGAAAGGCAGCGGAGGAAAACAGGAGGAAGTCGTTACTACTTAGAGAGAGAGAGGGTAACTGACAAGTCGATGGAAGGAAGTAAAGAGAGAGAGAGAGAGAGAGAGGTACCCGCCCAAAGGCACACAGGTTTTAACGGAAATCCGCGGAACTCAACTCCACCACTTCTCTTTTCTTTCCTCGTACGACACGTTTGGTTGTATCCCAACATAACTATATAGAGTTTCTGGGGCAGAACCCCCTTAGATTGCTTTTTCCTGCGCTGTGCGCAACTCACGGAGGGGGCACATAGTCAATTCCTTTTCCACCGCACTGACTGGGCCGCCAGTTCCCTCCGAGAAGCCCATTGATTCCCTAGCCCATTACAGCTCGCGTCCTGTCTCCAGCATCACCGAAATCGCTCCTCGCCGAAATCGCTCCTCACCGCCAAGCTCACCGAAATCGATCCTCAACGCCCAGCTCACCGAAATCGAACCTCACCGCTCCTGTCTCACCAGCACCGCTCCTGTCTCCAGCATCTCTAGCCATCCCCCAACTCTCTCGCTGCCGGTCCAACTCACCGCGCCCATCGCCTCCCCCAACCTCTCTCGCTGCCGGCCGGAAGTCTAACCTCCAGCCTCCAGTTCAGCTCGCGTCTCCAGTCTCTGTGCCATCCCCCAACTCTCTCGCTGCCGGCCCAACTCACCGCGCCCATCGCCTCCCCCAACCTCTCTCGCTGCCTGCCGGAAGTCTAACCTCCAGCCTCCAGTTCAGCTCGCGTCTCCAGTCTCTGTAGATACCGGTAATCGAGCATCAACTCGGAGCCTCCAGCCTCTGTAGCTACTGGAAATCGAGCATCAACTCGGAGCCCGTGTTGTGGATGTGGATATTTTGTTTCCCCTTCATTCGCCCCTTGGTCGTTTAGTTGGTGGCTGCTCAAGTTCGCGACGATTGCACCAGCCCTAGCTCAAGTTTACAGGCGAGGTATCTCTCTCTCTTCCCACTTCCATACCTTTTACCAGAAATTAGAAGAAGTGGCATCATGCATTACTTTGAAGTCTCTTCTATAGGTGCTAGATAGCCTTATTCGTCAGATTAGAATTCATGAATCAGTATGTATATTTGAGTGTTATTTGGCTAGACTTTAGAATGAATGAGTAGTGAATTTCCATCCCCTGCTAGATTCTTAACCATCACAACCCATAAGATTTCTCGACCACCATTATCTAACCCACAAAGTTTACAGGGTGTAAAGCCATAACATTATCATAAGATTTCCAAGTTCAGATTCATATTCGCATCCTAAATTTCCATACAGGATCATCCAAACACACACACACAATGATTTTTTTTCTTTTAACAAAACAATAAAGGGCCATCAGATTCCAAACCACAAACCATAAATCTATCCCAAATCCCCCCAAAGACCACCAAAACCAAACTATATCAAACAACTTTATATGCCAGATTAACCACAAACACCCTGATTTCCAGATTTGAACCATAAACATACAGCTTTCCAACTTTTGGAACCATAAGAAAACTTCTAAGTCGACAGAGCAATCCCACAAATCCAAATTATCAAGTCAGCCATCATACTGACCAAGCATAAAACTCAGAATCAAAATCAACACAACCTGCTCTCAAATTGGCAGAAACCATTGAGATAGAAGAAGAATAAAAAGGATTGGCTAGGAAGGATGCACACATTGTACTCAACTACCATCATCTTAGAAATTATACCAGTCACAGAAACTCTGTTAACAACTCTCTCTATAATCACGACAGCAGCAAAAGTTATGGTACCAAATACAACTACCACCTAAAACAAGAGAGTATATTAAGGCATGCCTAGAAACCACGGATATGGCAATGTTTAGACAAAGAGGCAGACATAGATAGATAGCCTAAGCAATCACTACCACGGCAAGTTGGGACATATTAGAAAAAGTGCTAGAGAAAAGTTTGGTGGAAGCAAGAATGTTCTCGACAGTACTCATACAACTTAGCACTTTTCAAGGACCTGAACGTATGATACACGGAACAACAATGCCTAAACTACATGAATGCACCCAGAAAACACAATCGAATCAGAGTCACCTGGGAGACAATGACACTGGCAATGAGTCCAGTTTTGACATTCCTGCCAGCAGTGTTGAACCACTCTGAAGTGTGGCGTGACCCAACGTATCTCTTCTCCAGAAAAGTCATGTTTAGGAGTGGCAAAGTCACAGCGGGAACTCACAAAAAAGTACAGCAGAAGCAAAACTGGCCAATCTAAGGTTCATTCCTAATGTCAGTCACCAAACTTGCTACACATGAACTTCTAGAGATGGAATTTCACATAACCTGCCACCGGAAGTTCCTTTTTGGGACCCGAAGATTTCGGAAACTCTTGAATTAGTTCTGGACTTCTTGAAGCATCATCGGAGTTACCATTTTTCTCTGGGGTGCTTTGGACACTCGAAGAAAGGCTTTGAACGCCAGAAACTGGAGAGACAAGGCACCAACATTAGAAACTGAGAGTCTACTTAAATTCATTCTTAATAACTTTCCCCGTTAAATGCAGAAAGGTCATCTGAAATTATGAAGTTTCTAAGATTCTCCAAACCAAGCAATAAACTGTAGTCAATAATAAGAAAGTAAAACGACAAACCATGCAGATGAAGAAACCAAGACAAGAGTGAAAGATGAAGTGAATTGCTTTGGTTCTTCAAACTGGAAAATGATATTGCGATGCAATTAGGACATCTAACATAAAAGCACAGAACTGACTGGCCAGAGATCAGCTTCAAGGAATCATTCTTTCTTATCTGATTTGCACAGAATCTTTTCTTTTTAGAAAAGAAAAAAAATCCAATAAGATGGTCCAGAGTACAGACACACATTAACAGAAAATTATAGTATGGACCCAGGTCCCCCAATTGACCTTCACATCGACATCGATGGACCGACACTGCAGATCAGTAACACGACCTTCAGCTTATTGCTGAAGTATGGAATAAAATTCACAGTTTTAAAGATATGCTGAGCTTACTTTCTTAAGGCATCATATGCCTCTGCCTTTTCAAGGGGACTCGATCTCATGGGTTATCTGTACTGCAGGTACTTATTAGGTCGCTGGAGCGGAGATTAGTTGTCATTTTTAAGCAGCTGAAGGGGACCATTTTCAGCTGGGCAAATCGTTGAACAGGTTCTGGGCAGGATAAGAAAAGGGCACCCTAGGATTGAAGAAACCACAATCGTTAACCGTCTTTGTCCGTCGGTGAGTTGTTTCTACTAGCTTGAGCACGTTTAAATTGTAGGATACTGCAATGAAAGAGATGAATTCTTCCGAGATACTGTCAAAATTTGATTCGCTAAGATTGGGTGATAACTAATTCATTTGAATCTGTAATCCGATGTGAAAACATAGCCGGTTCAGTACTGTTTGATTCGATTTATGTTGCTAGAAGCAGTTAATTGTGCCTTTGTGCTATTAACGACAGGTAATTGGAGGATTTGTAATTGTTAAACTACTTTCGTTGGTGGAAACAACCACACGATCTGCTTCCTATGTGTTTACGCATTTAGTAGTGGGATCAGCAGTTCTATCCAGCATTGTATGGGATTATATTTGGCTGCCAAATAATTATGGGACATGGTCACGTCTGATCTCTCTATTTGTGGCAACCCACTTCTTGAGAGTCTTCCTGATAGCTATCTATAGACTATCTATATTGCAGGTACTCATTAGCCAAGGAGTGATTCTGATGGTTGGCGCCTTTGCTAAGGCAGTGACATCTTCTTAGTTTATCTAACTGATGGTGTTGTAATAATGCTATTTGCAAGTATAGGTTTTGAAAATTAAAGAAAGCGATCAACTCTATAGAACAGCCTGTATCTATCGAGCTTGGTGGGAAGAATTCAATTATTTTGTCAAATATATGGACGTTTGCTGAAAGACTCATCAGTTATGATATTTGTAAGGATTTATTTGTGCCTGTTTCTGCATTGAAACAGCTGCTGAATGGGCTATCTTTGGATGATACTCATTTTGTTCTCAGTTTCATGTTTTCGTCGGATTGTATGTCATATATGCACTGTGTTTTTTTAGCTTCAAATTGTAATCAATTGTAATCTGATTAATTAGAGACACCACCAGTCCGCCACTTGAAAACAACAACAGCAACACTCGAGCGCAACTGCTCCACCAGTCTTTCTTCCACCACTCGAATACTATTAAGTGATTCACAGTAAGGTACACAACTGTAATCCTTTTTCTTTGGTGAGTTATGAACTCCTATAACTCAAATTACACATATACTTGCTTGCATTGGCTGTCGAAGGTGAATCTTATGTTCTTTTATGTTCTTTCTTAATCATGCCTCTCTCTATCTCATTATTTGTACATTATTACTATCCCTTCTCTGTAAGTGGTTGTCAAGTGTTCCTTTAACATTCGTCTTGCTCATTATTTGTGCATTAAGGCAAATTTCATGTTTTTTTTTTTTGTTGAAGTTCTATGCATCGAAGAAGAAGTATTCCCCATGGGAAGTCATCGACAATCTCAAATAATGAGTCAATTCGACCATTAAAAATTGAATGTAAGTACAAATATTGGTCTTAGCATAATTATATAGATTTGCAATTTAATATGTTTCATTTCACGTGTTTTTCAGGGTATAAGAGAGCTGTTTTTTTTCCACCAGAAGGTGTAGTGGATTCTAATCAGTCTCTATCTGAAGCACAAAATAAAATTTCCGATGGTATGATTATCAATGTTTTTTGCCATAACGAAGTATCAATGAATTAAGAACTGATATAATCTCTTTGACTATTTCACTATGGTTGAACTTAGAAAATCATTACTCTTTCATTTACATTATAGAAATTGATGCACATAAGTGTGAGTTGAGGAGAATTACTCAACCGTTGACCAAATTAGCAAGAAGGAAACGTGCACTTTATATAAGGCAGAGGCGTATATATGGAAGAATGGTGAACATTCCTACTGGTAATCCATTTGTTCCATGTTTGTTTTCGATTTACATGTTTCAATTTTATGTGTTAGCTGCTAATGGTTATTTTTTCTTACTAATTCCTATACAGGACTGCAAAATGAGATGGATAAGTTACAATCAAAGAGAAATAGATTATTGAGATCCATCAAACTTGCCGAAAATCGTTATAACCATCTTCGATTGATGCGTTCTGGTGACTTTCCAGGTTTGTTGATATATTTGTTATTTCATTTCTCTTTCTTTATTGTAATGATAGAGTTTATGGCTAATTTAATTTCTCAAATTTGAATTTTCATTTTATTGCAGTTGTAGAAGTGTTTGATATTGGAAAACCATCATATAAATGTGTGTATTGTGGAGCGATAATGTGGAAGGAAGAAAGCACCAAAGCCACGAGGAATTCCAATGAACCAAAGTTTTCGTTGTGTTGCAGACAGGGTAAAGTGAAACTCCCTCCTCGAAGACAACCGCCGGAGGTTTTGAATATGCTATTGCAAGCAAACACTTCAATGGCACGTCATTTTCTGGAACATATCAGAGGATATAATGCAGTCTTAGCATTTACTTCTATTGGAGGTAAATTGGATCGATCTATAAATAATGGACGCGGAGTATATGTTTATTCGATTGGGGGTCAAGTATATCATCGAATCGGCAGTCTGATACCTACTGAAAGGAATAGACCCAAGTTTGCTCAACTCTACATCTATGATACTGCCAATGAACTCCAAAACCGGTTAGACTTTTTCTCCACTGATCCAGATTCAAATCCTTTGCGTGATTCAATTATCCAACAATTACAGGAGATGCTAGATTCAAGTAATATCTTGGTAAAGACATTTCGATATGCCAGGGATAGATTGAATGACAGTACTGTTCAACAAGTTGAAATAAAGTTGCTTGCGAAGAGAGAAAGGGATGGTAGAGAATATGATTTGCCATCAGCAAATGAGGTCGCTGCTTTAATTGTCGATGATACAGGGGAGCAAACATTTTCTCCGGATATTGTTGTCCAGTATCAAAGTAATGAACTGGAACAAATTAGTATATATCATCCAAGTTTAATGGCTTTGCAATATCCCATATTATTCCCACATGGCGAGGATGGTTGGCACCCAAATATTTCACGCAATGGGTATGGGGATGATGATGCAGATGAGTACAATGAGAAGAATGTGACTCAATGTGATTTTTACAGTTATAGACTTCAAACCAGGCTGGAAGAATCAAATGCATTGCTATTGTGTGGAAAGTTATTCCAACAGTATGTTGTAAATGCATATGCATTGGTTGAGGCTGAGCGTTTGGATTGGATTAAAAACAACCAAACAAAGTTGCGACAACATTACTACCAAGGTCTTTTGGATTCTTACTTGAGAGGTGATTCAGATACCAGTATGAGTGGGAAACAGGTGATTTTGGCTTCATCACATACAGGTAGTCCTCGATATAAGTATGAAAGTTTCCAGGATGCTATGGCGATTTGTAGATGGGCAGGATATCCAGATCTTTTCATCACATTTACATGTAATCCTGCTTGGCCCGAGATCCAGCACATGGTTGATTTGATAAGGACTACTACAAGGAAAGATCCTAATAGAGCTGATGTCTTTGCAAGAGTTTTCAAGCTAAAGTTGCATCAAATGCTGAAAGAGATTTTGGAGAATAAAATTTTTGGGAAAACGTCTGCATGTAAGTTCTATTCAATAGCTTTACTTTAAGCATCTTGAAATTTTGAATTGTCCGCGAACTCTAATTTTTCTATTTACATCATTATTGATAATTTTTTTCATTGCAGATGTAATGGCAATTGAATTTCAAAAACGTGGTCTACCTCATGCTCACTTATTAGTCTTCCTAGCTCCAGAAGACAAGTTATATAGTCCTTCGGAAATAGATTCAATCATATCTGCAGAAATCCCAGATCATAAAACAGATCCTGAATGTTATGAAGCAGTTTCAAACTTCATGTTTCATGGTCCATGTGGCATTCAAGGACCTAAAGCCCCATGTACAACTAATGGTGTGTGTTCTAAACATTTTCCAAAGGAATTCTGCAGCCAAACAACTATTGATGGCAATGGTTTTGCAAGATATCGGCGTAGAGAGAACAACAGATCATGTATGATTAATGGGGTCTCACTAGATAATCGATTTGTTGTTCCTTACAACAGATACCTATTGCTGAGATTTCAAGCACATATCAACGTCGAATTTTGCAACAAATCAAGGTTAGTTCTTCATCTGATTCATCTTTTTTTTTATATCCATATTGAATTAATCATATATACTATTACAATTAGTGTGGTCCTCTGGCGGTGTCTTTTCTTTTTCTTCTTAACCATTTTTTCCTTCGTTATTAATATGATTGACTTACTAATTTGTTTAGGGCTATCAAATATTTATTCAAATACATCAACAAACCTGAAGACAGAGCAATGGCGACTTTGGAATCTACAGCTGGTGATAATGGAGAACACCATAACCAAGAAAAATCTTCAGCAACATGCGTTTGTATTGATGAGATCAAAGCGTTTCTAGACTGTCGATACATTACATCAGGTGAGGCATGCTGGAGACTTTTTAAGTTTGACATCAGCAGTAATTCACCTTCTGTCTTGCGTATGTCATGTCATTTGCCTGGGGAGAATAAAGTAGTTACAAAGGAGAAAGAAAATATTGAAATAGCTCTTGAAAAAGATGAAACATCAATGTTGCTGGCATGGATGAAAATAAATGCTCATTCTTCTGAGGCACGAAAATATACATTCGTTGAGTTCCCTCAGCATTTTGTTTGGAATCGAAAGTCGAAAAAGTGGCAGATGAGGAAGAACAAGGTTTGTATTGGAAGATTGTATTATTGTCCTCCATCAGCCAACGAAAGATTTTATCTTCGAATGTTGTTGCATTTAGTCAGAGGTTGTCGTTCTTATGAAGATATCAGAACAGTTGATGGTGTTATCCATGATTCCTTCCAAAAAGCATGTTATGCTCTTCGGTTATTGGCAGATGATGATGAGTGGAGTGACTGCTTGAAAGAAGTTGCATTCTGGGGTTCTGGATATAAAGTAAGGAATCTATTTGTCACAATTTTGATGCACTGCCAAGTGTCTGATGTGCAATCTTTGTGGGAAAAGAATTGGGAATTACTGAGCGATGATATTCTGTTCAATCGTAGAAGGGAGCTAAATTTTCCAAATCTACAGCTTTCTACGGATGAGATCAAAGATATATGCTTGGTGGAGATTGATAAATTATTGCAGAAATATTGGAAGTCTCTGGCTGATTTCCCAGGTTTGCCCATTCCATCTGGAGTTATGAGATCAACTTCTGGAAATCGAATGATCGCCGAGGAGTTAAATTACAATTCAGAAGACTTGATGAAGGAGTTCAAAACATTGTATCCAAAATTGAATTCAGAGCAGATGAAGGCGTTCGATGAAATTATTCAAGCTGTGGATGAAGAAAATGGGAGGTGCTTCTTTGTTGATGGATTTGGAGGTACAGGGAAGACATTTCTTTGGAAAGTTATTTGTTTAAAATTGCGTGCAGAAAAGAAAATTGTGTTGTGCATTGCTTCTTCTGGTATTGCAGCTTTGCTAATGGTTGGAGGTAGAACTGCCCATTCTCGATTCCACATTCCAATTGACTGTGACTCAAAATCAACATGTCATATTGAACAAGGAAGCGAGCTAGCAGAGTTGATTCAAAATGCTTCTCTGATTATTTGGGATGAAGCTCCTATGGCTCATAAGCACAATATTGAAGCAGTGGATAGAACTCTCAGAGACATTTTGCATGTCAAAAATTCAAACAGCGAGAACATGACCTTTGGCGGTATTTCTGTTGTATTTGGTGGAGATTTTCGTCAAACATTGCCAGTAATTGCTAAGGGAACCCGAACAGATATTGTAAATTCTTCTATCAAGAGGTCGCACTTATGGTCTTCACTGAAAGTTTTGAAGCTCTCCCAAAATATGAGATTATGCCCTGAAAATTGTGGACCCGAAGAAGCTATAGAGATTGACCAATTCAGCAGATGGATTTTGGATATAGGCGATGGACTAGGTGCCAATGTTTTTGGGGAGTCAATGGTTTCAATTCCAACTTCTTTGAGCATTGAACACGATGGAGATGGCATTGCTGATATTGTGCACCATGTGTATGGTGATCTCCATTTGAATTACAGTGAAGGAACTTATTTGGTTCATCGTGCTATATTGGCCCCACACCATGAAATGGTATCGACAATCAATAACTATGTGATGGAAAGGTTTCCAGGAGATGAAGTTTGTTATCATAGTTCAGATTCAATCGAGGTTGATCCAGGTAACAAGCATCATATAGAGGGAGATTATTCAGTGGAGTTTCTCAACACATTAAAGATTAGTAATTTCCCAGACCATTGTATTAGGTTGAAAGTTGGATGCCCTGTCATTTTATTAAGAAATATGGATCAAAGTACAGGTCTCTGCAATGGCACAAGGATGATTATCAAGAGGCTAGGCACATGGTTCATTGAAGTGGAGATTCTTACAGGTACTCATGTTGGTGAAAGGGTGTTTCTACCTCGGATTAAATTGACTACTCATTACAAAAGCCTGGATTTCACATTGGTTAGGAGACAATATCCAATTGCAGTCTGCTTTGCTATGACGATCAACAAAAGTCAAGGTCAAACTTTGAAACACGTCGGTCTCTGCTTGAAAAAGCAAGTGTTCTCTCACGGTCAACTTTATGTTGCATTATCACGAGTTACAACGCACCATGGAATGATGATTTTAAGTTGTGATTCAGAAGGCGAAGATTCGAAGACCATGCAGAACATTGTGTTTGGAGAAATATTTGATTAACATTCCACAACTTTGGTATAAATTACTTTCGGCAACACACTTGGCATTTATGTTGTTTGGAATTCATTTCACTTTCGGAAGGATTTAAATATATTTTTATTCAAAATCATACTTAGTATTCTATGTATGACAAGTAGGTTTCATGAGGTGCCACCCGTCGAATTCCGGGGTTCACTTCAGTTGCCTTATATTTTTAGAAAAGAAAATTTCTAATCCTCCCATTTACAATCTAATAACTATTATGAATTCAAAGATCGCAAAAGATCATTAAGACAACTACTTATTTGTCACTTACTTCTTTGTTTTCGTACAAAGAGTGAATTTTTATATACAAATTGTATTAAAAAAAAATTTGGTCCAACATTATAATTTCCCGGGACTCCAATTCATGAAGCAATCAATCAAACTGTATTTCAATCAGATGGATGGAATTTAAATTAGTTGCATTATTTGAATATTTTAGTATATAGATAGGATTAGATGGGTTCTAACCCAGATTGAATAAACCAATAAAATATTATCCCATATCTTGCACACAAAATTAGCCAAACCCCCACTTCAGTCGAAATCCAATCATTAAATTATTATTATTTTATTTATAGTCTAATCCTGCCCCATCAAGATACGCACATATACCAATAATTGAAATCCTAGCCCAAATCTGTCAAAAGCTAAAGCCGATTTGTAAAAGCACATTAAACAACTTAAAATAATATTCTTAAACCACTAAAGTTAGTTAAGTGACAGAATAGAAACACAAATTCAGTAGTTTATCTTTACGGAATCCAATATATTTCAATTAATTAATTGTGTGGATACAAAATAAGATGTTACTAAATTGCAATTGCATTCCTACACTGTCACAACCACCGTCAACTTTGCACTAAAATTACATTATTCTTCTTAAGTTTTGTGTTTATTAAATTATTATTCTATTATTTTATATTCAAACTCTAATCCCATAGCAACTTATGTACGTGTACCCAAACTACAATTCCTAGATTCAAACCCGTCGACACATGGCAAAAATACTAAAAATAATTAAAAACTGATATACACTATATGAAGGCTAATGTTACTCAATAACTAAAATAAATACATCAGTTTATTCCGAGAATTAAACTCCACGGCAACAGTGGAATTACTTTATTTAATAGGAATACAAATAAAATATTGTCCAATTTCAATCCCATTCTTATACTACCACTGACATAATAGACAGGACTGTCTCATCAAACTATTATATAAACATCTGGAGATAGGGACCAATTCCACCGACCGCCTCCAGCCTTTCTTTCAAGAGAAGCAATTGGAATCAATTCATCTGCATTGTTCCCATCATAGCTGCAACTTTACAGGTACGGTAATTAGTTTCCCCAATCCGCACAGTTATTCCACACGTTCATTAATTATTATCTTACAAATTATTGCATTCTCTTTTCTCTTTCGATACAGCTACTACTGCCGCTGCACTCTCACTTTCACACACAGGTTATTAATCAAATTCTACCGAATTTATTTTTTCCCCGCTCGCAAGTTCAATACGATGATAACATCCATATTTATAAATGCTAATATTGTTTATCACTGTTATTTAAATTACGCAAACCCTACATTATAATAGTGCTTAATTCATTATTGTGAGTTAGACCCATATATATTATGAATAATAAAATTAGTTTGACATATGTTTTATTTGAAGGTCAGGCAATATGCAATCCCAACTGATCTCCGATCTGACACCTGAAAAGAGGAACTGGGTTCTCCAATGTCGCGTTTCGAGGAAGTGGCTGGCAATCAATCCCAACACAAATGTTGTACTTCGTCTTGATATGATAGTCATTGACTCAAAGGTAAACAATAACACAAACTCAAACTCTATGATTCAAGTCTTGGACATTTATTGATACGCCTACTTTTTCCCAGGGTAATGATATTTGGATACAGATTCCCAAAGTGCTAATCAAAGACTTCCAACCCCTGTTTCGTGATCAAATAGTCTACACTATCAAGAACTTTAAGGTCAATGTAACGATGGGAGATTTCAGGCCAATTCCAAACAGATTTTTCATCAAATTCCAGTCAAACACCGAAGCCCAAGCTTGCGATGACATTCCAGCCATACCAGCTTACAAGTTCTATTTCATCAAACAAGATGAGATTGCCAATAAGTGCAACGACAAAAAATACCTATCAGGTTACAAATACCATTCTCAATGCAAATTTCCCTTAATTTTATGTATGTACAACCAAATTTACTAAGTACTAAATGTTCTGATTCCACAGATGTTGTTGGCGAACTCATGTTCTGCTCAGATTTACTTACCACTACTAGACTAACTGGAAAAGTTTCCCGCAAAGAGCTGCATCTAAAAATCCCCGAGTATGTACTTCTTTTAGCTTTCTGTTTCAAATAATAGAATAACTTAATCTACTTCTAAGTGCAAATCTAATAAAAAATTTTTTACAGAGGATTGGTTGTCAAAGTAACTCTCTTTGGTAGAATACTTACCCAATTGAATGCCATACTTGCAAATCCGGGTGATCGTCGTCCCATCCTGGTCATTACATCAACGTATGTCACTCCTATCAAAGGTAAACAAGCATCTAAATTACCTTAATTGTAATCCATGCATTTTCATATGAATAATACCAAATTAATTAAATAATCGTATGTTTCTCCTATATATATTTGCAGGAGAGAACACCTTCACCTCAACTGGGGCGACCTTGGTGCTGGCGAATCCGAGAATTCCAGAAGTCATCAATTTTGTGCCTAGGTGAACTCACGATCCACAATTTTATTATCGTATTTGGTTGCGTTATAAGTTTCCCGCTTTAAAAAATCAAAATGATCCATTACCTTCGTTTTTGGTGAATATAGTGACGGCGATGCACCAATTCCTCCAGTCAATGGAAGAAATATTACTAAACAAATAATCCCATCCATATCACTAGATGAGCTCAATCAATTGAAGATGAAAGATGGAGAGGAGGTACGTATCGTTTTCAATTAAACAAACTAATAGTGATCAAATGCTAACAATTCATATAATATGCAGGGAAATATGTATTCCGTCAAATGCAAAGTTATCACGGTTAAGAATGGGTGGTGCTATGCTGGATGTGGAACCTGTCCACAAAAACTTGAAGAAGAATCAGATGAGTACTTCTGTGGGACCTGTATGACAACGTTAAAGACCACAACATCAAGGTAATACGATAATTATTAATATCAAATTGTGCTCTGTATTTTCGACATATATTTCTTTACCCTACGCAATACAAAATGCAAAACGTTTCGATAATAATATGAAGAGCTACTGCACCGCCGATTTATTCCCAATTGGGCTGCAATTCGTGTTGTACCAAATTTCACCCTTTCACAATTTATCATTATTGGCTTGCTCTTTCCTGTTCAATTACTGCTTGCTTTGGTTTCTTTAATTTCACGTGGTTCTGCTTTTGGTTTAATTATTTTTGTGTTTAGCTTTTTGGATTTGGAGTTAGAACCATTTCTTATTTTTAATTCTTCAAAAATCCACTTACTGCCCCATTTTGATCCCTCCACTCCATGCCTTCCTTTGGTATTATATGCAATATCCGTAGCTACATATGATAAGATTATTATATAACAAAAAAAATTCATTTATGATTTTCTATATTTACACACTTCCGACACTAAAATTGTGCTTCTTTATGTTATTACAATTCTTATATAGATTCAGGATACAACTTCGAGCCGCGGACAAAACAACTCAAGCAGACTTTGTTGTTCTGGATCGAGAGGGTGCTCGATTTTTTGGAATATCTGCTGAGAAACTATTCCAAGACAACGATCGAATGAGAGGACCACCACCTGCTCAACTACTACAAATCGAGGGAATGACACTGAAATTCGACATCAAGCTCACTGATTATAACATCGCAAACCCAACAAGTGAGTACACAATTTGGAAGATAGGGCTGGAGGATGATAACAATAACTCAAACGATCACCCCGAATCAATTGAGGTAAGTCCAACTAGCGTGAAATTATATTCACCTTATTTACAATAATGCATTATAACCAACACGATTTGGAAAGTCTATTCAAAATGAACCCTCTAATTATAATTTAATTACAATGCCATCTCAAGTGCTCATACATTGATTTTGCAATGCGTTTAATTTTATAGCTTAAAATAGTGCAACATTCCTTCAATATATAAGCATGTTGCTGCATACTTCAATATATAAGCATCTTATATACATCTTCACTTACCAAATATTATGATTTTATGATTCAATAAAACAACAAATATGTTCTGTTTTTTAATGGCAAAAAACTAATATCATTATCCTAATTATGCAGGAGATCGAAAATGGCATTGGCAATGATGCGGTGGCTAGAATCGGTGTAACAAATGATGATGCTCTTGAGAAGAATGTGGAGTCTCCTGATATTGAACCAAAACAGAGGACTAATGGAGAAGAAGACTTCAATACCGGTGGAGATGATGATGTTGCTAATGACAAAGGAAATGCAAACAAGCTAAAAAGAAAACATGGAGTGATAGTCTCTGACAATGAGGAACAAATAGAATGATTAGCGAAAGCAAATTAGGAGTCGGTCCCCTGGCATAGGGTTTCTATATTCTTTTTTCGGAAAACAATTTTACTCAATGAGTCGGTTAGTATATTTTTTCGGAAAACAATTTTACTCAATGAGTCGGTTTGTATATTTTTTCGGAAAACAATTTCACTCAATGAGTCGGTTAGTATATTCGGAAAATACTATGATTGTGTGGTTAAAGTACCCATCAATCAATGTATTGAGCATCACATCATTGAATTGAATACCGAATTTCATAGCTCTGCTAAAAACTGCATAGCCACCTAATCATGATTTTTATGTCTTAGCAGCATTCATGAACAGGGGAAGGTCACGCATACCAACATGATTTTTATGCTATTTAAATATTTTTAAATATTATTTTATTCAAAATGTCATATGTAATTTAAATATTAATATGAGTTGTAAGAAAATAATTTGAATTATTTAACGCTACTAAGAAATTAAAATATTAAATATTTTCATATACCTTTATTTCTAAATATATTATCTAATAAACACAAAGCTCCCATCAAAATTGTTATTTCTATTTACGACGATTGACAAATGAATCCGGCCGACCGGCCGGGCCTATGACTAGTAATTGTATTGTATATTTGCACTATATTGTGCCCAGTGTTGTGCCGGCCAGTTGAATCAGGTTCGATCGAAATCGGTGTTAAAAATGGCCAATGAAAAGTTATTTTGTCTTCAATCGGTAGCCGGTCATCGTAATAATCGGTAATTTGACCGGTATCCTACTCATAGATAGAAAATCGCACTTTGGCTCTCTCCCAAATTCTATAGTCGAAAATGAAGCATATATACACATTGTTTAGTCTAAGATAATATATATGAATTATTATAAGTATTGTATAGTTTATGTCAGATTATATTTAGGTTATTAAATTTTTAATTATTACTACATATATGCATATATTTTTATACATGGATAATGCTTAAGGGATCGTTTGGTAAGCATGTAATCTACCCACAGATTTCAAAATTACATTATATCTGTTATTCCACTGTTTTTCTTGTTTCATTTTTGGACAGATATCATGATATTGGTGCACCATGTAATTCTAGAATTCATGTGACCATGATATCTCAAATGCTTTGGGTTTAGGCAAAATACACTTGTATAGCCAAAACTTTCGCGTTTGTGCCAATAATAGCCAAATTTGGAGAAATACCACTTATAGCCATTTCCGTCCAATACTTTAACAGTGTTAACTAACAGAGTGACTGGACTAACAGCAACGGTTGACGTGGCATATTTTAGTCAGAAATAATGACAGGTGGAAAATCATTAAAAATTTTATCTTTTAATTTTAATTAAATTAAATAAAAATATAAAAAAACAATAATCTCACTTATTTCCTCATCCCCATCAACGAATAACAATTGCCCCATCTCCATCAACGAAAACCAATTTTCTCCACACTAATTTCCTCTCAAGCTCCTGACGGCAACCTCTTTCACTGTTGCTTCCCACCTTTCGCAGCTGGCTGCCTGGCTCTCCTTGCCGCCTTGACCAGCGACCGGAGGGACTCCATTCTCACGGCGGCGGAGTTTGTCTAGGGTAGCGGCGGGCGGAGGTTGTCTAGGGTAGCGACCCATATGAAGCGAGCGGCGAGTGGATTTGGAGGAGGATTTGGGGTCGACCTGGGGAGTTGAAATTGGGGAGGAGGAGGAGGAGGAACAGGGGAAGGAAAGTGGATCTGGGCGTTGATTTTGCTTCTGGAGCGTGGAGCTCGTAATCAAGACCTGCAGAACAATGAAGCTCCTCACCGCCGTGGCGCCGATTCTGGATCTGGCCGGCTCTCTCTCCCTCTCTTTAGATCTCGGAATTTCAAAATCAAGCAATAGCGGAACCACGTTCTTACCGCTCCGCCACTCGAGTTTCCTCTCTGCGTTCCGATCGAAGAAATCATCTCCGGCTTTTCAATCACTTGAAAACAGTAACCCTAGAGAATATTTCGAGGTTTACCCAGATTGGTTTGGCGGGAACAATCGTTGTGCCTATACCGCTCGACGAGCTCCTCCACCTCCCTCACTGTACGCGAAACACCCAGGACCCGATTCCTCTCTTCTAGGTACTGCTCCTGATCCACAACATTTTATTCCGCCGGAGCAGCGGTGCCGGTCCATTCCCTGTCGAGCCGACGCGGCCGGAATGGCGAGAAGGGAAATTAGAAGTCTTGCAGTAGTAGTAATATCCTCCATCCAGTTTGAAGCTCTCCTCTCTCAATCCCTCAAGAACAAGCTCTCTGCCTCAAGAACAAGAACGAAAAGAACTCTTTCTCTCTAACAGTACAACACCAATGAAGAGAGAGAAAGGGAAAGTGAGATTGGGAAGGGAAAAATTAATTAATTAGTTAAATTATTTATTTTTATTAATTAATTTCTGACGTGTAATTATTAAATAAATTTAAATTATGATGTGTCACTTTCTGCTTATTTGGCGCTGATGTGTGTGCTGAGTAGGAGCTTAGTCAGCAAACTGTCAATGAACTTGACGGTGTTACTAACACCGTTAAAGTATCAAACGAAAATGGCTAGATTTGTCATACAACAATTAGAAAATCTGGCTATAAGTGGTATTTCTCCAAATTTGGCTATTATTGGCACAAACGTGAAAGTTTTGGCTATACAAGTGTATTTTGCCTTGGGTTTACCCAAAGTATTTGATTTCATGCCAAATTATGTGGGTTTCACCATAAACTCATGCAAGCCAAACAATGCATTCTAATACTACACAAGTTCTCACAACTTAACCTACAACATACATGAATTCTTCAAATACATGAATTCTACATTACGTGCTTACCAAACGACCCCTTAAATCAGATGTACCTCAATTCTATCATTGAATCTCAAACTATTTGTTTGACCGGCTCAACAAAATAAACCGATTTGGTAACCTTACTACCCTCTCCACTCCTCATTTTTACTTTTCTACATCATTACATACGTTGTTGATATTTCTCGTTCATTTTATTTTTTTCCTGAAAAGGAGAAAATTCATATATAAGATTGAATATTTTTCACTCTGATAAATTAGAGATGTAATGCAACTGTATCTACAGTTCATAAGTATTTTACTAGTGCAATCAAGTTGACATAGCATATTGAGATTAGTAGTGGGATGTATTCATTTTCAGATTGGAACGAGGACACTACGTGGAGAATATACGAGCAATCATTTTAGACTTAAGTTTGATCTACAGGAACTTAAGCACTAACTACAACTACAATATTATTTGACCTATTCTTTGTACCCTTTTATTGGGTTCATAGTAAGATATTCTTGAGAACAAAGCAGAATAATTAAGGGATTTGGTAACAAGAAAGGATTTGCCTCACTTTATCAATAAATCGATTAACTCCGACCCTTGCATTCTATGACTTTCTTTGATTGATTTTGCCCATTGAAGGTAAATTTGTAACCCTCGAATGTTCTTCATGTTGTATTTCTCTGTTAAAACATCTAGAAGGTTAGGAATGAGATTGTCTTTCGAGAATCGAATCTCTTGGCAACATGCCACTTCTCGAGATGTTCTTGAATGTTCATCCCTAACCGAGACATGTTCCTTCTTTGAATGTTTATCAAGAACTAGTTGATCCCAATAACTTGAGTTGTTGAGAAAGATTTCATAATATATCTTACACAACATACTAATAATATTCTCTCTGTAAACAGAGCATTAGTGTTTTTAATTTTTTATGGTTCGTTTCGTAATAACGAGGTGGATTTTTGGTCTGATAATCGTGATAAGACGCGATAGTCCTTTGCTTGTTACGTGTTTCATAATTTCTTTTCATTTTGTGAGACATAAAAAACGTTGCGTATAGCCGGCTTCATATGATTCCAAGTTGTATCATCATCTTCTCGGTATGTGATTCGTCTTCTAATGAAGACGCATGGACCAAATATCTTCATTTAAAGCGTTACCGGTTGATATTTTATGCGCTCAAATTTCTTTTCTTTTCTTTATTAGTTCGTTTTTTCAGTTAATAAGATTCCTTTTGCATAATCCAGCAAGATTCTTTCTTTGCAATCTTTGGGGAAACAAATTGTTTGAGAAAAGGACATTTTTGTTTCATCTACTTTCTCAATATTTAAGTTAGGGGGAAAAATAACTCAAGTACACGTTTCTGATAAAAATTAATATTATTGATAATTAGCCCATAGTTTTTCTGTTTGTCATTTCGATCACTTCAAAAATGAGCCCATGGATTATTGAGAAGACAAATTTACAATGATTTTCTTTTCAATTTATCCCTTCAACAAAATTAGGTTTTTCTCAAACTTAACTTACTTATTTTATATGAAGATGATAATCACATCACTTACCTTTTTTGTGAAGATGATAATCACATCAATTACTTTTTTGATTTTTCACATTGCTTGCTTTTTTTATCTAAATGCGATAAATATAACCACGAGCCTTACAGGGTATATGTATACGACTGTACGTAGCATCGGGTTTTGTTAAGCCAACTTTATGGCTTGATTTTGACTTTTGAGTGTTCCCTTACTTCGTCCCTAACTAATTTGAGTTTTGCGAGGTTTGTCTCTTATCATTGATTAGATCTCGTGGCATAATTTCAGTTGAATTTTTCTCAAATGTCTTAAGTTCGAAACTACTAGTCATGATCTATCTCAAGTCATGACCTAGAATGTCAATCTCTTATGCTTCATCGAAATCATCTTACTGTCGCCCACCCAATGTAGAACAACTCCATATAGAGTATATGATCCCCGTTCATGTTCCAGAGTTGTTGGCATCAAACTATGACTTAAACCCTAGTCCACAAATGTCAAGGCTTCAGCTTTTATTATTTAGCACCCACAATTTGCTCCCTCCCCATTCACGAAGCTCCCATCACTAAAGTTGCACATAATGACATCTCAAATAAGGTACAAGATAATACAAACGCTACAAAGTATTATGAGCTCTCATATAATAAAGTGAACGTTGTGCTGCTAACGAAGCACTTCCACACAGAATGTCATGTAATAGTAGAGAATGAGTGTTTCTCCACTATTCTCATTAGGGGTGTACATGGGTCGGGTGGTCCGGGTTTAGGCATTTTAATCACCCGACCCATGC